CCTTGTCTATATAAAGACTCTGATTACTGAGTAGACTGAGGGTGTGTGTTCCTATTCTGTCCTAGATGTTTAAAGGGCCAGATCGTTGTATGTAGTCACCCGTGGATCCTTAATTCCACAGAATTGCACCCATCTCGTGGTCCTGGCTCTTGCACTCAGTTTTCTTTGTGTGGAAATGGATGGTGTCTATCCAGATCACCCTGATTTAAGTTTATATAACAAGGATTTTTAACCCAGTAGATCTCCAGATGGGATTCAAGAGATCTTTGAACTTCTTAACATTACATACTAGATTCTTGTTATGTGCATGTTTTGATGTTATTAAATCTGATTCTCAAAGGGAACATTTACTTCAAAAAGTAAAGGACCACGTGGCCTCACCCAGACACCCCTGCTCTTCGGCCTCATTCTCTGGGGCCCACCTTCTGTGACTGGCCACTGCTGTTACTGCCATTTAAAGACTGTGAAGCTGTATCTTCAGAAGGCCTCCTCTCCACCACCTCATTAGTTCAGCCACAGAGTCCTGACCTGTCAGTCTATCTCCCAGATCTGTCAGCTTCATTCACTGCGTACCACCAACACCTGCATTCTGCTTCAGGCCTCCGTCGCATCCCACCAGACCACTGTACCCTTCTGCCTGTTTATGGATTTATAACACGCTGGCCTAGTGTACACATGTCAGCAATGAAGTACTTCAAAGTGCAAACCTAGAAGTGCCACAACCCTCATTGGAGCCCTCCATGCCTGTGCCCCAACCTTGGGACAAAGGCACATTCCAAATGGCATGGACAAGCCTATTTGTGGCCTCCTCCTTACACCTCCCAGCCCTGCTTTCTCACCCCTGCTGCCCTCCACATCCTGCACTCCCTCCTGCAGCTCTCAGAGGAGCCCCGTGGCTGTCAGCCTCTGCACCTTGGACCATCTCCTGCCTCTACTGGGACCCTCTTCTCTTCTCCATCTGCTGCCCCATTTCCACCTCCCACCCGCCACCCCCAATCACACAACTTCCCATGTAGATGCCACTTGCAAACATTGTGGTCGCTCCATCAAACCTAAGAATCAAACTCCTAGCACCATGGACAAATCTTCTCTGAAGGGGCACCCTTGGAAAGAAATATTACATTTAAAAATGGAATGTTGTAAAAATACCTAGAAAGTACTTCTGTCCATCTTGTCTTCCCTGCACACTTCTCTTTCCATTCTGTTCCTTTCTATCTCCTTCCAATGCACTGAGTATTGAGATATATTATTTTGCTTTGCCTAAATTAAAAGCCAATAACAAAACTCAACATTCATAAAAGATTAGTCCCTTTAGTTTTACTGAAGTATTCTCACACTGCAAGTATGATGGCATTCTTGTTCTGGCGCACAATTCCGTGGGCAGGGGACAAGGAGAAGAAAGGATCATCGAGGGACGTCTCATGACTCAGTTGAGCTCTGACAGCCAGCTGGTCACCTGCCCTTTTGGGCACTTCCTTCTGGCTTTCCTTCCTTGAAGGGACTACTAGTATTTACAGGGCAGATTAGACTTAGGAACACCATTGCAGTCGTGGATCTTCACAAATTCCATCTTTGTCTTCAGGGCTAGAAATGAAATATTAGTGTTGGGAGATACTCGGATGATCAAGGACACAGACACCACGTTTTCCTGTTGACGAGTAGGATCTGTCAGTTAGTGAAGGTGTACAGGGTGTGCCGGAGAAAATCACAGAATGAGCAGAAGATAACTGTCTTTACATATAGTTAGGAGAGTTTATGTTATTATTATTATTGCTATGTCAACTCTCAAAAAATTTATTAGGAGAAGTAATACCTAACCAAGTGAAGTCACCTAAAAGTATAAATGACACAACCACGAGAATATGGAGTCATGTAATTATGGATTTGCCCGCATTTGTAAGAGGTGTGGTGTTCCAGGAGAGCCGGAAGGCATCAGAGACACCTGGCCTCAGTCAGCAGGCACACCAAAGGGGTGGGCCAGGGGAGGCGCCGGGGCCCAAGACGAGAGGACTCCCAGCCCAGCCAAGGCTCAAGTGAGATTCGCGATGACGTCCACGGCAGCATGTTACAATGGGGAGGGCACACGTGGTCTTGGGTACCCGTTTAGCCTCTCTGAACTTTATTTTCCTGGCAAAATGAGCAGCAGCAGCAGCATCATCCCCCTCATTTACACCTTACAGGGTTGAAAGGGGCACCGAGATGGGGTCTGGGAGAACCTTCTCTAAACGATAAAGCAGGGATGGCAATGAAGGCATCAGTGGTGAAGATGATGGTAACAGGGCTCTTCCTTGTCGGTGACAGAGGGAGAAAGAGCTTCCTCCTGCTTCTTAGAGAGAAAAGACCCAGCAGTGCGCTCTCACCCACCTTACAGACCTGCCTTTATAGAGGCTTCGGCATGTGACTAGCAAAGCACAGGAAGTTCTCCAGGAGGTGCCAGTGGAGGTGGGACCAACACTCGCAGAAGCACCTGTTACCTGGCCACTATCTCTGTCTGCACTTACACTCTCTGTTTGATTTTGTTTCTTTCTCAGGACCTTAAAGGAATTTATTTATTTAAAATAAGGAAGGGGTACCCACCATATGCCACAGTGTATAATCTAGCAAGCCACAAGCACACGCACACACACACCCAGAACAGGGCAAGACATGTGAGCATAGCTCTCATAAAAGACACAATGTGTTTCATGAATCCACCTGAGTGAAGGTCTCCCCAGAAAACACGAATGTGGTTGGGTACTTGAACAATTAAATGAGTATTAAGCAAAGATGGAGACAGTGTGCCAGTCAGAGGGGACAGGCTGGGCCACGTGAAAATAGTACACTTGGTCTTCAATTAGTACAAGGTGTGCTGAGCTTAGAGTCAGTAGCAGGGAGTGGCAAAGCCAGGTGGAGAGGAGGACAGGGTAAAATTTGGAAGGCTTTGAGTGCCATGCTGGAGCTTAGACTCTGTCCTTAGGTGCTAAAGAGCCACCAATGTTTTATAAGAAGTTGACTTGATGCAATCTCTGTTTCAGGAAGATAACTGGGATTTACAGGTGATAACACAGAATATCTTCACGGCTTGAGGCTAAAGAATGAGAGGGAAATACAAGTCGTAAGAGGCACAACAGACATGAGACAATCCAGAGAAGGGATTAGGATGCCACCAGTGGAAATTTCTAGTGATACAAAGAAGGAAGATTCAAGATAATCTTGATGTTTTGAGCTTGAAGTTTAAGACAATATGTGTCCTTAACAAAAAGCAGGTACCCAAAAAGGTAGTGTTGACTTTCAGAAGGCAGTGATGTGTTTCAGCTGAGACTTGTTTAGTTTCACTCTAGGACATCAGGATGGACTTATTCAAGAAGCAGTTGTAAATTTTGATGAAGTTAAGCATATTGATAAATGTCGTCAGCTATTATTGAAGCCCTGTGATTGGATGGGATCATATAGAGAGAAAATTTTGAGTAAGAGTTTTGGGAACACTTATGCTCAAATAAGCAGATTGGAGAAACATGCCCCTAAAATATAAAAAGTTATCTTTGTTTAAAAAGAAATCCATGATAAGATCAATGACTTGATATTATCCCAAAGTGGTCCCTGAGGTCTCACTTCTACCCAAAATCACACCCTTGGAACTAACAACTATATTCATTAAAAAGACAGACAGAGTGCCTACTAAATGTTAAGTATTGTTCTAAGGAGGTGAGTCTACAAAAGCAAATCAGACATGGATCCTGTCCCAAGAAGCATGGAGCTCAATGTTGAGAGATAATTTGAACAGCTGTGACCTTTGCTGTCATTAGCCTGATGCATATTGACAATGTCCAACAGAAAACATTAGTGTTCCCACCAGTGCCACAGTTTCAGAGACTGTTTAAAGCTGGTAAAAGTTCCCCAAATTAAGGCTAGATCATGACTAGACCATGTAGCCCTTCACCACGTGAGCTGGGGCCCTCAACTGTGAAATGGACATGTGAGCAGAACCAACCAACTGAAATTGTAGGGAAAGCTTGTATTTGTTTTTCTATATTATTTCCTTACACACCTGACCCTCAGTCTTTCCAATGCTTGCTGGCTTCAAATCTCTGGCTTTGAGTCCCACCATGACTGCCCAGAAAACCCTATCAGCAGATAAAAATGTACATGGTTCTGAACACGACCCCCAACGGAACACGTGCTCTTGCCTCCCCTTCCTGGATCTTTACAACCTAAGCAGAGATGAGGGGTATATTATTTTTGAATGGATATAAATGAGAATGGACTTAATCAGAAAATTCAGTTTCTCAAAAAAAAAAAAAAAACACCATGCCACTGCATACCAGTTCATTTCAACCCCCACAAAGGTCTCTGGAAGAGTTATTTCAGGTGGCACGTTGGTGATTAAATTATTTTCATCAGAAGCTTTTTTACTTCTTTCAAATTATGTCACATGAACTCCTTCATGCCATATTCATGGACTCCACAGTATTTATTGAAAATCAAGTTATCCACCAGATCTAATACTAAGCACCACAATGCCACATTCAGGCTACTCCTTATTTATCTAGTTCCTATTCACTGAAAGTCTTTTGTGATGAAAACAACACAATTCAATAAACAGGCTGTTACTGTTAATAAAATCCTAAGTGAATTCGGCATGGTCAACTGATTCTCAATTAATTTTTTAACTGTTTTATAAAGCTACTTATGGCTTATTGTAAATAGTCACATATGCAAAGCTTTCTCTTATGAATTTAGATCCAAGTATTTAAAATTAGCTTGTCAGCCTGTTATCTGTAAATGTAACCTTCCTGTGTAATAAATTAGCAACAATGAACCAAATCAGATTTATATTTAAAAAGCATTCTTTTAATCACTTGCTTACTTGGCCTAGAAATAAAGAAAGTTTCTGGTAGTCTCACATTTGGTCAGAGGGGATAATCACATTGTACAGGTATGTTGTATTTCTTTATTATGATAGAGAAAAAACTTGTAAACTAGACAGCACATGGAATAACACACTGCAAATAACAAATGGCAACAGTTAAAAGGTATTTAATATTTGAAAAACTATGTACATGTAAAGTATCTATCAGGAAAAGACAAAAGATATCAACTTTAAGTTATTAATGAGATATTTTGGTTGGCCCCCAATCCCCAGTCTGTATTTGTTAGCATCTAGATTAGACCATGATTTAAAATCAGATGTGTTAGAGTAAACTCTGTTTTCTTAGGTCAGCAGAAAAAGTTATTCTTCACACTTATTTCCAGCAGTGGGGCTTACTTCCTAGATGATTTCTAATGAAACTAGAGTATCTGTGGTTAGTTAAGTGGGGTTCCAAGAAAGATCCCCAGGGCTGCTTCCGCACGGTCATTACCAGAGGAGCCCTCCGCAGTTCCCAGAGGGGACGCCCAGATCTGTGTGCACATGGGAAACTGGTAGAAATAATTGCAGTAGGAAGAGCCCTAGGAAGAAACGGGGGAGGTGGGTGGTGGTAGACATGCTAAGAACAGAGAGCAAGACAACCGACCCCATGTCTGAGAAGGGTCAAGTCATCAAAAATCATCTGCCAGTGTTAGAAGGATGTAAACTCAAAGGCAATACCACATGCTTCTAATTAAACTCGAATCTATTCACCTGTAACGGTTCCTTGATGTTGCTGGGACTGTGTGAGAAACCAACTGGGTTTTCAAGGGCAAGAGATTTTGCCACTAAACAAGATGACGTCATCCTTCCTGATGACGAACAGGAATGGGTGATCAGCCCTGAACACCGTAGACTCCGGAAGTCGCTTCTCCATGATGTCACTTCCCGTGGCAGCGGCCGCCTCCGTGCCATCCTCCGTGACCTCTATGTATGCCTTGTGCATCAGTTTCGACACGTACAGGCGACCTCCTGCAGCTATACCCGAGAGATCGGCTCTGGATTCGTCGAAGATATCTGTCAGCCCTAAAGCTTTTAAATAGTGTTTGATATCATAATTTTTCTCTATCTTGAACTGAGGAAGAAACACCTTGACATATTGAGAGCTCATTTTTCTTGGGTTGGTCCAGTCCATTAGATTCCGAAAGGTCAGTGTGTTTACAATCTGTAGGAATATTTGAAAGGCAATTTAGAAGCATATGATTAAGAAACAGATGAACAACTACTACAAAGATTTATGGTTTTCCATAACTAGCCTCTCCTGCATATTTGTATGTGAGTATGCGAATGGGTCCTGGAGGATATGTGGAAATGGGAAATTATTAAAAGGAATAGTTCAAGTACTCTTTAATAGATCATGTTTAACTTGCTCTGCTATGACAAGGTGTGACTTACTTGTATTTCAGAGCATTTCTATTCTCAGCCTACATATGAACATATACAGCCTAAGTGAAACAATGGACAGGTGAAGGAATTAGGGAATCAGAGATCTTCAGAGGGAGAAAGGAGCTCAGGAGTCAGTGTTTCCTGACCATCTTCCCATCATGAAAGACATAGAAAATGATAATGCTTGCACAGCTTGTAGGAGCAACCAGTGGAACCCCCGGTGGCCCAAGGCAAAGAGCCCAGAGCTCTAGCCGGGTCACCACACTGACTCTCCTACTCAACACACGAGATAACTGAAGCTCAGCACAGGGTAGGGAGATGTGCCGAGTCCAGCATCTAGGAGCCCACTTTTCTATCTCCAACCCCACTGCTGCCCTACTGCTGCCCCCGCAATGACTCACAAATTGAAGTCACCAACTCCTCAATATAGAGAATTGGTCAAAGATCATTCCAGACTTACACTGGCAAGATTTTCATGCACGCTGTTTACAAATCATACATATGGGCATTTGTTCTCAAATTCAGGCTCATTAGAATCCTAAACAGCTTTTCACAACTCCTATAAGCCTTACTTGTATTCTTATAAAAGACCTAAATTTATATAATCAAATTGAGTCTAAATTTTCTGTGTATAAATTATCCAGTCTGTGATTAATCTCTAATAACTTTTTATTCTGAGTTAGAATATGTTCCTCATTTAGCCCACCACACAGCCAACTTCCTCATATTATTTAGTTATGTAAGATTATATAGGTATGTAGATTTACAGTATTCTGACCCAACATTATTAGGAAATTCTATTACAGAAAAGAAAAACCAGACAATCAGCACAAGAACAAATCTATTGTTTGAGTTATCTACAACATATTTTATATGTTTTTGTGTGCTACCTTTTCAATTACTACAAATTATTTGAAGTTAAAATAATTGGTGTGTTAAAACCTGATTGTTATGAAGATTATCAGGTGAATTATAATTTAATAGGAGTACCAATTTTTTATACTGTCACACTTTAGATTTAACAATGCCAACTTGATGACATCCCTCTTGCTGTCCATGTCAAAAAAAGTGATTAAAATGAAAACTGGATGAAATCATTATAATAATTCAGTGGTATTGTCCATGTAGGAACTGTATTTCCAAAGTTTTAAAATCATGTTTTTAAATCATAGGGAAAAGATGTATAAAAATAATGCCTCTGGGTAGGAGGAGCATCAATTTCTTTATAATCTTTGTACTTTCCAATTATTTCATAAGACATACTCATTATTTTCTTAAAACATCACAATATTTTAAACTTTAGTGGTAACTTTTTAGAATAGCTGAGTATGTGCATAAACACTCACACATATATCTGTACACTTGTATCTGTTAGACCAATTGACTAAATTCCACAAGCTTCTGTTCCCTATCTTACATGATTGCTGTAAGGATCACATGAGATAATAAAAGTGAAACTCACAGCACATGGCCCAGCACATAGTAAGTGTTCAGTAAATGGTACCTATTATTCCTTCTGATTAGAAGTACAGAGAAGGAGTGAGACCCAGGCTTTTGAGACTGAAGGTCACAGACTCAGGAAGCCAAATGCGTCCTCAGGAGGAAGGAAGAAGGGCTGCACGATGCGGGTCTGAGATCTGCTCTTGTGCCTGGCTTGCATAGCCACTGCTGCCTGCCCCTTGCCCTGGACTCATCTGCTGCCACTGCCACATCAGTCACAGGGAATCTCCAACCTCTAATCTCCCTACAGACACAGCAGCAGAGAGTGAACCTGTACATTTTAACTCATAAAGTCCCAGGACTTCAAAACTCCATCAGATTGCTCCTGCCTGAAGATACTTAGTCCATCAAAATTTCAGTCCTACATGAAATAAGACAAAATCTCAGTAATACACAAAAGACTGCTTTCATGGCCAAGGACACAGACCTAAACTCATGCCCTTTTGCCTCCACAGCTGAGATCTGAGAGGGTTCCAATTTTACAGCTATTCAACTAATATTATGCTAAACTGAGGTAAGTCTATCCCAGCATCATAATAGTGTCAGGCATATGGTAGGTATTCCTTACATATTTGTCAAAGGAATGGAAAAAGTGGGTCAGTCTCTAATTTCAACAACCTGAAATCTTAAAGTGGGGGGAAAAACACCATCGGCAGTCTCCCCAAAGTCCCCTTACTCTTCTGTAGTGAGCGTGGCAGCAGTGACTTACCAGGGAGAGGTCGTTCTCGGGTAGCATTATGTACATGCGTATGCCACCATCATATCTGAGCTCAAGAACCTTCATGGGTGGGTCCTTAATGACAGCCAAGTTGAATCTCTTTTCTTGATGCATCATGGCGACTGTTTTCCCAGGACACTGAAATTGAGTCACCAAAAAAAAAAAAATAGTAAATCCACCTTATTATCACTTACACAATAGAAACAGTGTTTCACTTTTTGTCAGGCTAGTAGACTTTTTTTTACCTGTTGCCAATGGTGGCTGCATTGGTTTACAGCTCAGTGGTAAAAGCACAGACTTTGAGATTAATTCTCTGAGTTTAAAACTCCCCAGCTGTGTGACTTTGGGCAGGTCACTTTGCCTCTCTGTGCCTCTATTTTCTCATGCATGTAAGGGGGTAAAAATAATCTCTACTGCATAGGATTGTTGTAAAGATGATGTGAGTTACTATATCTAGCACTTGAAACACTGCCTTGCATTTACTGTTTCATCTGAGATGTCTATATAATAAGGAAGAAATAACTCTTAAATGGCATTAAAATAAAAAATGAATGCTATAGGTTTTTTTTTACAAGGCCCCATTCTTAAATTCTGTGATTCCAATAGTATTGTCTATATTTCAGTTCTGATGAGAAAAAAAATCCATCGCTTTCATGGCAATGTTCATCACTCATTGAGTGACCTTTGATTTCTACTGGGTCTCAGCACTCCAGTGTCTAGAACTTCTGAGGTGGGAAAGTGCAGAAAGGACGCTTCAATAGTATTTTCCACTTGGCAAATAAAACAAAGTTTAAAAATTAAACCTGAATGTCTCTGCCTCAACATAAAAGGCTGAGTGGTTGGAAGGCACTGAAAGGTCAATTACTGGAATCATTTTACTTGTGAGAATAGGGAGGCCACGTGTTTAGTTAACTTGCCTGTGAAGGTCTCTGTAGCAAGGCAAGGACCTCAACACAGTATTTTTGACTCTAAGGCCTTTGATGTTTCTGCTACACTAAGATTATCATGTACAAATGGCTAGAACAAAACAAAATAATCAAGAATATATGTTTTATAAAGGTTGGTTAAGATGTTTTAGATCAAAAGCAATTAAATGAAGAAACAGACATAATTGCCATCTGGAAATGCATAACTTTATCAGCCATAACTTGTTCTTTGTAAAAGGCATCCTTGTTTTGACTCAGAAAAAATGCTGATACCAAGTAACTCTAACCGGACAACCCACAGTTACAATCATTAAATAAAAGATATTCTGTTGCCATATTTTCTTCTTATAGGTCCACAGCTAGAGTTTCTTAAGATCACTTCATATTTTATTACTTTCCTCAATTTTGAATATGTTTTAAGAAATATCAATTTACAGGACACCTGTAGTTGTGTTCCATAACCTGCATTATCAGGAAGAGAAGAAGCTTGTCTTACAAGCAATTGATTCTATAGGACTGGGAGGCCGCAGAGGAAATGAGTAAAGCAACGGTGAACCCAGCATTAGTGTGTGCGGAGACGTGCCGCCATCCCCGCCAAGGAACACTAGGGCCAAAACTTCCTACACTAGACAGATTCACATACCTTGGGAGACCGGAAACGGCACCTCAGGGTTTCATTCTTGGGGAAAGATGACTCCCACTTGCCCTTGAAGTAGACCGCGTTCACCAGCACCATTACAGCCGACGAGCTTATGCTACCTTCTTGAAAGATGTTCCTGATTTTGCCTTTTGATATTAAATTGAAAAAAATTGTTAATTTTTAATGCAAATTAAAAAAATATTTAAAGATGAGATGAGCATGAAGTTTTCCTTATCACATAATAATCATAATAATGATATTAATAATAACCTGTGAGCCATCACTCTGCCCAGCATTTTCTAAGCGCTTTATGCACAGTATTTGGTTTCTCTCTCCCAAAATCTCTGGGAGGTAGACACGACTGCGGTTTCTGTTTCGTGCTGGGGAAGCTGAGGCACAGGGAGATTCAGTAATTTGTACTGTGTCACACAAGATCGTCAGGCAACAGGGTTCCAACCCAGGAAGACGATGCTCAGAGCCCCTCTGGGCCGGTAGGCACCGCACTGCCGTTATTGCATTGACGAGGCTGGAACACTCCAAATATAATTTAGCTCCATTCCACTGAAAGGGCTGACTACTTTCTTCATTTCACATTAACAAGATCTTTGCTAGATGCCAACCAAGCACTAGTCTTGAAACTTGAATGACAATGAATGGCACAGTCCTGGCCATCAGCAGGCTCACAGCCCAGCTCACAACAACCAAACACAGTTGTAGCACGCTGGCATCAGAGCCAGGAGCTCCGTGTGCTGCGGGGGCACAGATGAGGGGCACCCGTCTCCGGCTGGGCCCTCTGCTCAAACAGGGGGCAAGGTGGGAGTGGCGTGCAAGTGCTCCTGTGAAGCAGAGACTGTTCATTCAGACATGGAAGCCTGGAAGAGCCGAGTGCATTCGGGCAAACCCTAACTCTCATGCATTAAGGAGAGTGAGGTTGGAAAGCTTATCATTAATTTATGAAATGGTCATCATAAAATCTGTTTGTCTCAGGACATTGTTCCCAAACAAATGAGGTAACATAATAGACAAGATTCCTGAAAAACGTAAAACATTCAAATGACTAAGATTACCCAGACCCACATTGTGGACACATACGAAAGCAATGTGCAATACAATAATCATTACTTTGGACTACTAGGAGCTGTCCTTATATGTCCTACAAAAGACTCCCAGCTCTGACAGTTCTCAGTATTCACATATAATGGACGAATCTTTTAGAAAAAGTAGGGTACTGTACTCACCATTTGTCTTCTTTTCAATCCACTTATTAATTTTATATCTGGTATCTACTATATCATTTGTAAAGTCAACTCGTTCTACTATGGCGTTGTATAATTTTTCAGCACTCTCGGTATAGTTCTGTAAATATAGATAATATACAGTTCTGTAAGTAATGCACAGTTCTTGTATTTACAAATCACAACTGAGCACATAAGAAATAAGTTCTTGAACTTCCTTCTTCATGTCCACTGCCTCACTCAAGGGCTCATTCCTGTCTCAGAAATGTAGCAATAGGGAAATATGACTGGAAGGGGAGCTGGAGAACTTGAAGTTGAATTTGCATAGCAAGCACGCTGTTTTAAATTTACCTGAAATGGATTAGGGGAGGTAATAGAGATTATGGCAAACGCCCACTCCCCTGGCTTCACTATTGCGTTTTCACCATAAATACTTCAATAGCTGCTTAACCCAGCTCCCCTGCTTGCATCTTTGCCTTGCTACTGAAAACCTGTCAAGGCTACTTCTTGTGCTGAAGACAAAGCCCCTGGACCGGGCCTGTGGGACTCTGCTAATCTGCACCCGTTACCTCATTTCTAGCCACTTTCTCTTTCATATCTTCCATCTTGTGCTTCCTGACCAGAGAAACTCCCCAGAAGTACCATGTGTCCTCCATCTCTGGGGGCCTTTGAACAGCAATTTCATCTACTGGAATGACCATAACTGTCATGGGTATGTCTTACTCATTTCCTATTTCTAAGCACAAATACCTCTTCTTGACACAGGTCTTCCCAAGCCCCTCCAGGTCCACTAATGGCCCTTCCCACTCATTTCCCCCAGCTGTTATCACACCACGTCTTACCTATATTTGAGAATTTTTCTGAGCCCTTCACAAGACAGTAAATACTGTAAAGTCACAACCAAATACACCTTGCTTATTATTATATTCCCAGCACCAGCACGTGGCCTTGCACATAATGGGCACTTAGTAATTATTTATCGTTTCATAATAAAAAGAAATCACAGTGATCTAATTTATCGACACATCAGCAGTTCAACAAATACATTAACGTCTTGAGGGAAAATTTCAGTAATTGGGGAAAAAGTCATTACAAACCATATATCTTGTCAGAAGATATTGTGATGAATTTTACAGAATTTTCAACCCTAATAATGAAGACTGGCCAGTTATGCAGTGTCTGTCTGCATGATAGATTAGCTCTATAAAAATGGTTTTATGTGTAATATGTAAATATGTATATTATATATCATTTTTTCCAGTCCAGCTCCTATGTCTTGCCAATCTCCTTCAAACACAATTGCTTATGTCCTTAAAAGGAGACATGAAACTTAAATGACAAGAATAAAACTCTTGAGATGGACTGTCTCTTCATATATTTATTGGTCATTTAATAGGTTCTGTCACAAAGGTCCAGGTCAAGATTTTCCAGTGGGCTGTTTGTGTTTTTCTTTTGATTTTGGGTATCAGCACTTTATTGCTTATATATATGGCAGATACGTTCTACCACTGTGGCTTGCCTTTTTACTCTCTTTATGATGTCCTTAAATGAAAATAAATTCTTAATGCCAATGCCACACATGCTATTTGCTTTATCCTTTATGATTAGTGCTTTATGTATCCTAAAACAAAGATCAATAAGTCTTTGCTTATCCAAGAATATGAGTGTAAGAATCCATATTTACCTTCTAAGAAATTGATTGTTCTCCCTTCATATTTATATACGTGATCCACCTGGGATTACTTTTTTTATATGCCTTTTGTGTCTAGGCACATTTTTCTACATGGATCGCCAGTTAAAACAATGCCATTTATTGCAAACACCATCCCTTGCTGCTCTGCAGAGTTCATAAATGAAATGTCTCTGTGTGTATCTGTTTCAGGACTCTCTGCTGTATTCCACTGGTCTACTGTCTGCCTTTGCACAAATATCAGCAAATCTTAATTATTGTATCTTCTAAGCCTTGCTTTCCAGTAATGTTTAAGTCCTCCAATTTTTTCTTCTTCCAGATTGTCTTAAGTTTTTTTGATACTTTGCTTTTCCATGTAAATTTAAAAATCAGCTTATCTATTCTCCAAAATCAATTGCTTTGAATCTATAAATATGGAAAGAATAGACATTTTTATAATGCTAAGTATTCTGTCCCTAAGCAAGCTATAACCTTTGTTTTTAAAGTATTCCTTTCCTTCTATTAGCAATTTTTTAATTTTGTGAACATCTTTCATTAGATTTATTCCTAGGTATTTGATGTTTACAATGCCACTGTAGATGGTAGCATTTTAAATTTTATTTTTTAATTGTGGATAATAATTTGCACAGAAATGCAAATGAGTTTTATACTTAACCTTGCTAAATTCACTATTAAATATATTTATAAATGTTTTAGATTTTCTACATATACAGTTGTTATCTGTGAACGATGACAGTTTTATTTCCTCCTTCCCAGTCCTTTTCTTCCTGCCTGTCACCTGTTTGCATTGCTGTTCACTGTTTGCATTGGTGATGACCTCCAGTGTGACATTCATAGAAATGTTACAGAAAAGATCCTTGTCTCGTTTCCTGTTGTCAGGAAGAAAAAGTTTGGTCTTTTACCAGGACTGTTTATGCACAAAATTCCTTTTCTAGTTTATAAGAGTTTTATTTTCTGTATATGTTGATTGATACTAAGTTCTTTCTTCTTTGATCTCTCAATGTAGTGAATTTCATTTATTGGTTTTTAAATGTTAAGCCAACATTGACTTTCTTAGTCATCTCTGTGTCCCCACCATATCTTGTGTGGTTCTTTGCATATAGTCAGTGCTCAGAAAACAGCTATTGGATATGAAATGAAATGGTACATTAGCGGCACTTCAGTTTTAGCTACACAACAACACTATGCATGATTTCCATTTTCCAAGGATCTGTGTATTGAGTAGTCAAAATTGAAGATCAAACCATAGAAGTTTAGGGCCATAGAGACTATTTAGTACAATCCTCTGATTTTATCAATGAGGACACTGAGGTCCAGACATGCCAACTGATAACTGAGGGACGCACAGCAAGGATAGGACTTGGGGCTCCTGACTCTCAACCCAGCACGTCAAAATGTCTTTTCATTACACCTCAACATCTTTAAAAAATGACTATGTGATCCAGTCATTGTGGGAGGCCCCTTAATTTAAAGGGAAAGAAGGGAGCTGCCCCCTTACTCCTGACCAGTCACCCCAGGAGCCCAAGCTGCAGTCCAGGCAAGGAAAGGGGTTTCACCCCAGGTCTTGGACTGTCCCAGGTGACCCAGAAACCCAATGGACACTCCATGGCTGCCATGATTATGATGACCCTGGAGGCAGGCACAGGACATTTCCACTAAGCCCCACGGCTTCCCGGCCTGACTCTGGCTTCCACACCCTGGCGCCTCTTCAGACTCCAGGACCCAAGAGACAAATCTGAGGTACCAGAGACCTGGAGCTCACAACACAGACCGAGTTGAAACTGATGGTGGCCGTAAGGGGTTGCTGGGAAATGGAGCGAAGCAGAGCTCTCAGTGACTGTTGTGGGGAATGGGAGAGGGAATGACTGTAAACAGAACACCTGACCGTGGGACACCACTGAGAGTCCAGCTGGGGTGAGAGGCCAGGGGTCGTAGTGGCAACTGCACACTTTTATGCTTTGCACACACATCCTCTAGCAGCCCAGGAACACGGGCCGAGGGAAGTCCTGGCACTGATCCAGAGTGGGGCTTTGCTGGGGAAGGAGGGTATTGGTATTGATTAGGGATGGATCCACAGGGTAGTTTGATCTAGCACTAAAGGCAGGAGGCAGCTGATACCTTGAGAGGAAATGGAGAGACCAAGAGATTGAATCACTCGATGCAGTTGAAGAACAGGTGAAGTGGGGATGAAATACTGAAAGAACGAGAAGCATGGGGTGACATGGCCACAGTGGGTAACAAGAGTTGTGAATCGGGGGAGTGGAATAGCTCTGGGTGTTGATGAGTTTCAGGGTGTGGCTCGGGCATCAGTCACTCTCATGGTGCACTGAGGGGGTCAGGAAACTGTAAGGAGGGAAGTGGAGTCATGGGAACACTGAACTTACCCCAAGTGGTGGCAGGACTTGGGGGAGGATGGGGTAACATTTGCAGACAGCATCTGCCCCAGAGCACATTGAGCAACAATGGTGAAAGAGGCAAAACAAGGCACCAGAGATGGTGGCTGGGTCTTCAGAGATACCATAAGGTTTTTATAAAGACATTTTGTGTAGCATTATATTTAATATCTTCACCAATTCAAATAAGTCTCATCCATATTCAAATGTGAGTAAAAAAGAGTACTGAAAAGCAAAATGTAAAAAGTTTGGAGATTATCTCTGTACCAACCTGAGTGACTGAAGGTTGATGATAGTTTATACTCAAAAGTAGTTCTTAGACTAACTAACTGTCCTTGTCAATGTCTGGGTGGAAAAGAATGGCAGTGTCTCCACTTCCCATGTTCCTGGTCGGACCTCACCTTTCCAGAGCTTCTGGGGGCACCACTTCATACACACACACACACACACACACACACTGAGTGCCAGAAAAAGGACCATGGAAATATCCTGTAAATAGTAACATAATAGACACGACTCCCAGTTTAAATGAGTTGGCAGTCCCTCAGGGACACACACGTACGTGTGGAAATAGAGGCACAAAATGTGGGGCTGAACATGTGTCTTTAGGGGGATTCCTGTAAAGCCTGTGTCAGGTTCTTTGGTGAGGATTAAAAAGCAAAGTGGCCAAAGCTTCGTAAGTGGCAGGCTGCCAGAGGGTGTGGGAGTGGTGCTCAGAAAAGGGGCAAAGAATTTGAGTGGGTGACAGACAAAGGACACAGTGCTGTCTGGGTGGAGCACAGAGAGGTGGGAAAAGATGCAATAGCCAGCGAAGTCACGGAGGTGGAGTTCTAGGCTTATCTGAGAAGTGGGGACTTAAAAGAGAGAACGAACATGCCTGGAGAATCACGGCCGCTGGGTCTGCCTGGGGTGCGCTGACTGGCTTCCGGCTGTCATAGCGATGGTGGTCCGAAAGCCTGGACCGAGCATATTAGCACAGAGAGTGCTTTGGGCGGGCAGGACGCCGTGGTGAATGAGTTAATAACACAGACATCATAATGGTATGAAAAATCAGTCTGCGGACCTCAAATGAACCAATTCCTCACCTCTGTGGGGAGTCTGAGCTGCTGCTCTGCCAATGGCTGTAGCCTACGTCTCCTACACGAAAGTTTTTATAAGTGATCTTACCAAAAAGGTAAGTAGGCCACTACTGGAGGGAGGCATGTAGGGCATGGCCACGGGACAAGGAGGGGAGCTCAGCAGTGGGGGATGCAAGGCCATCCCAGTAGACACAAAGTTCAGAGGAAAATAGACAGACTTTCTCCTTTGCTGCCCACCGACACCCCTAAATGGGCTCTCTGCTCCTCCCACCACCATTACAGCTCCGTCACTGCCAGGGCACAAGTCTCTTCTGTTTTGGAGCCTATCAGTCCGGTGACCCTGAGTACATGGCTCAGGGGAAGTAAAGCTGTACTTTGGAAACACAGTGATGATATTTTAAAGGCAGCTGGGAGCACCATCTGTAGCCACAAGGCAAAAAAAATCACTGTGATAGGGCTCAGTAGAAAGATGCAAGCCTTTATTCAGATGATGGAGTGAACAGACTAGGGTCAGAGTGGACCCAAGCTTCTGAGACAGGAGTCAGCACTCACCTTATGAATATCAAATATTTTTTCCACAAAAAGCCCATTGGCGATGCTGAGTTGGTAACCCTGGTGAGATGTGTTTATATCAGAGAGAACTCTTTTCAGTTGATAATGGAGTCCTGGCTGTTATTAAAAAGATTTACAACATTTATTCTTGGGCTGAAAAAATATATATACTCTTATTATTCAAACATGAAATAAAACAAGTATATTAAACCATAAAAGAACTGAAAAATAATGATGCTTATAAAACAGCAAACAATGCCACATACATCTACAATGTCTTACCCTTTCTCAGATAGCGTCTGTGTTCCAAGTTAATTAAAGGCTTTACTAATGTAAGTAATGAACCTTAGAATAAAATTATTAACAAAGGTAATGAATTTGCCTAATGCATGTGCACTGGCCATTCATTTCACTGATGTAAGTTGGCTGTGAATATCCAAGGATAGAAAGCAAAACATTTAGCTCCACACTGCCTTGCCAAAATGTTGCCAACACACAAATAAAATACTGGTACATTAATAATTAGGAATCTATGATAAAAAATTATATTTGAAATATCTACTCTGTGGAGATCTGAATGAGACATGTTCCTTTGCTTTAAAAGGAGAAAGAGCATAACTTATGTCTCACTAAGACAGTAATTTTTCTAAATTTTGCTCGTTCTCTTTTTCTAAAAGAGCATGTTGTCTTTTACCTGAATAGAAGAAGAGCTTCCATGTCCTGAGATGGTGTCAAAGTGAAGTATCTGCAAACAGGGAAGGAAAAAAAGCAGTGAGCAGTCATGCTGCCCGAGAAGGACCTGGTGAAATAAGGAAGGCCGCCACTGCGTTGTCAGACGTTGCCCTGGGAGGTCGTTTGTGAGCACAGGAGGCGGGGGACAGACACAGGGGCCCTCCTGATGCACTTCAAATGCACACTGTTCATTGGGGAAAGTGCCACAGTTGGCGCAGTTAGTAAATCAATGGCTACAAAATGAAATGTTTAATTATTTGGGTTTGCTCATTCTGGGGGAACAATTTTATAATTACTTGCTGATTCAACCTGCCAAGGACCCAAAAGTAAGTTAAAAATGAAACTTATTTAATCAGATGGGAGGCAAGATCAGGGTCTACTACTTAGGCATCAAGGCATATTGAATATCTAGGAAATCCTGAAGATGAAGCTAAGTTAGGGCTTAAGAAAGATGATTTATGATCCTGCAAGTATTTGAAATTAAGTGGTTTTAGGTTTTCTCTTTCCCAGGATGGCTCTCATAACCCCATTATTTTAATAGTTGCTACTCTGCCTACACCTTGATTTTCTACTGCACTTTATCTGAATTTCCCTAGGCCTTTTTCTCTGTGGGATCTGGACTACAAAACTGCTCCTCTACTGGAAAGTGATAAAGCGCACTATGCGTATGATAATCCCTTATGCAACTGCATGGGACAAACGGAATGTTTGAGGCCCCCCAGGCATGGATGGAAAGGACAGAGACAGCCAAGGACTCATTTAATCTATATTCCTCCAGCCAAGTGTATGAAAGAAGCTGCCAGGTGATGGTGGATTTGTCTGACTGTCCAAGTTGCGAGTCCTAGAATCTTATGGGTTGGATTTTCTGTATAAAGATGTAGATTTTCTTTAAGGGAACACATGTGCTATATTTGAATCACATCCCCAGTGGGGAGTGAAGGTAGGAAGAGGGGGTGAAGGGCCACTCTTTGACACTGGATAGAAAACAATTATGTATGAGAATTTAATTAAGTCAGTGTTGCTGTCAGTGCCTCTGTGAGGGATTTCAACTTGACAGCTTCAGACCCCAAATGAACACCATGTAATCTGCAGGGGGAAAATGGAACTGCAGAGAGATATGAAGACGTGAAGGGGGTGAGTGTCACTGTCAGTTTTCATAGGTCAGAGAGACCTGGAAGCTACTTCAATTTCTGTATCCTCTTAATTTGAAATAATAATTAATATGAGATGGGGTGAGAGTTAAGGCCAATTAGATATACAAATCAGGAGCCAATTTAAAATCCACAGGTGGGGTTCTTGCAGGCAGCAAGGATCACGCGTGGCCGCCTGGCGCCATCCCACCCTCTTGGTCTATGCTGGGGAGGACGGTGAGCTCCATCAGCCCCCTTTCTCTCTCTGCCTTGGCCAAAAGCAAAGATTTTTAATGCCTTAAATAATCTAATTATCTTTTCCCAATGGATAGAGGTGATGGGTAGAATATGCCCCCCCAGGATCCTTAATCCTGACTTCCAGTTTTGTGTCCAGTTTCACAGGGACCCTGACTCCTCCGCAGGTGAGAAATGGAGTCGGTGACTTGTCACTAACAGAAGGTTCAACAAGGACCTCCCATTTCCATAAATCATTTACTATTTATGGAAATAAAAGCATGAGTGTTTTTGACTTGGACTATGTCACTATACTTTTTTCAGTCTTGCTGCTTTGTAACAGTTATGTTGGAAAATAGATGAAGCCTACCTCTCAGTGCCCCTAAAATGAAGAAGAAGTCATCACCACCAATCACCTCAAGAAAGAAACAGAGGGAGAGAAGCCCTGGCCAGCTGCGCCCACTGACCTTGAACTTAGGTAGTCCCTTTGTATCTCTCCTTTCTAAGATGAGGGATGGGGGTATGAGGGTCCAGTTCTATGATATTTGAAACAGTTCAGGGAGAAAGACATAACCAAGCAAAGGCTAAGAAATCTTTGGAAGGCATGTTGATTGTTAACTATCTTGAGTCAAATATAAACGGCTTTGTGGGAAAACCTTCTGAATGACTTGTGCTCCTTGGTTTTAAACCTTTTAATCTAATAATTAATGTGAAGTCCAGCAAGGAGAAAGAAATCCTTTTTTGGTCAAAATTCCTCCTAAGTCAGACTAACTTTTTACATTTCCTATGGTTTTCTTTTCTTAAAATGAAAAGTCCTAAAATCACCATTGGATAGATCGGTAATTGGTAACATCTGAAGATACCAGAAACGTAAAATACCACGGTAAAGGGTCAGGATTCAAAAGCTAATGTCTTTCTTGAGCTAACTCTTACAGGACTCGAGCAGTAATAAAAAAAGTATATGAATCGCCAGAAGGCATTCTTCTTAATGTTTTGAAAAAAGCTTTAGCAAGTATAAATACTGAACATGATTCAACTGTTTCTAATTTTACTCCATTTGATATCAAAGAAATTATATGGATGTTTTCGTGTCTATAGTTGCCGTATTTTCCTCTTACAGAGGTCGCAATAGCAAGAGTTATCAAAAGTAACTCATGAAAGTCACTGATGTGGGCAGTGACTCTAAGGAGCTGAGCCCAGGAGGACAGCAGCTCTCTGACTTCCTTGTGGCCCACCACCCAGGCACTGGTGACCACAGGTCACCAGGCATCTGTAGAGCAGGAGACCTCAAGAAATGAACAAGTCAGTAACTCAAGAATGTCCCTGAGCTGAAATTACACAATAACAAATAACTTTGTGTCTTCTGTTGTGTTAAAGGTGAGTCTTGGTCACAGGTGTGGGGCCTGCACATCATTGTCTAACAGACTGAACAGAAACAACTTTTAAGCTATTTTTTTAATTGGATATCATTAAATTAACCCCCCACCCCAACCCCTCCATAGTTTACAGGGAAGGACAATGAGGCCCAAAGAGGTGAACTAGTTTTCCCAAGACCAGCAATTTGGATCTAATCTTCTAATTCCCAAACCAATGTTCTGTTTCCATGATACCAAGTTGCCCTCACTTCATTCTAAAACATTAAGCACTTTTATTAATGAATGGGCACATTTTTATTAGCTGCTGGAAGTTTTTCCCCAAAGGCTTGATATTTGTATCAAAATAGTGACTTTAAAATAATTGGGCTTTGCAATAATGTTCTCTGCGCTGAATTTCAGTTTGGTGGCCTTGGGCAAATGGCTCTTACTTGGGGGTTGATTCTGCCTTCTGGGGACATTTGACAGTGTCTGAGGATGCTTGATTATCATGACTGGGAAGAGACGCTAATGGAACCATGGGGAGGGGCCAAAGGTAGTGCTCAATGCATGAAGAGCCCCTCACAACAGAACTACCTGGCCCAAAATGCCAGGAGGGTCAAGACTGAAAAGCCCTGCTTTAGAGATCACCCTGAGTTTGTCGCAGCTCTGCCACTTACCAGCACACAGAGGGCATGCAAATCCCTCCATAAAATCAAGATAATCATAACCACTGCAGTGGCATAAGCAGAAAACACAAGCCTACACAAGCCTAACCCAGAGCCTGACACTGAAGACCTTCTCTGCAGTTCCCTTTTATTATCATCTCATTAAAGTCCGGTGTTCAATGTACTGGGCTTAGGAACCAGTCCAGCTCTTGGGAAAACGGCATTCTTGACTCTGTGGTTATTCCCTAGCAGCAAATACTCACTGAGCTCAGCCAGAGAGAGAAATGAATTATTCTAGTATAAATTTGCTGCACAAATAATCTTCAACAAACAGTTAGGAGTGAAAGGTTCCAGCAGGGCAAGCTCCCCCTAGCACGCACTTGTGAAGTGAAATAGTGAAACGGAGCAGGAATCAGAGTAGATTCTGGCAGAGGCCTCCGTTCCGCCTGCACCTGCCATCGGCCCTGCAGATTCCTGAGAGAAGGAGGAAAACTAGGACCACTGGACTTCCCTGTACAGCCTGCCCAGGGCGGTGTACGAGAGTGGAGTGGCAGGCACTTTCTAAAGCCGGTGGTGAAGTGGATGGTGGGGATCATGTGATGCCCGTTCAGGTGAGCGGCTGCTATCTGGAAGGTACTATTACATCATTTGTGCCCAGATCACACTTGTTCAACTAGGGCCTTCACTGCTATCTCCTTGAAGCTTTTCTTTCTTAACCCTGTCTACTCAGGCAAAGGTTCGCAAACTCAGCATGCACCTGGAGGGTTTATTAGAGCACTGATTGCTGGGCTCCATCCCCATGGTTTCCATCCAGGAGGTCTAGGGTGGCGCAGACATCTGCGTGTCTAACAAGTTCTCCAGGTGACGCTGATGCTCCTGGTCTGGGAAATAGACCTGGAGAACCAGTGTGCTAAGGGAAGGAACTAAAGCTGAAGTTCTGGAATAATCCTGCTATCTCCCACTCGAAACCAAGTCCTGCAAGTGCGTGCGTTCCCCACCCTTGGAAAGGGGTTCGTGGGGATGGTTTCATTATGCGGGGCCATGGCAGTTAACATTTTCTTATGGGGAAAACAATTTGCCGTGAAAACTAACTGCAGAAGCCACAGGTGGTGGCACAACCGAGACTGACCTTATCGATCTGAGCCGCACAGTCACCTCGCGCGCCCAGTCGGACCATGGCCAGAGCAGTGAGGATGCTCAGAGAGGAAAAGAACACGTTCACGCTTCCGTGGCTGTTTTCCATCTCCCTGAACAGGTTGAAGCAAAATTCTGCATTTGCTGCAGGAAGAGAGGCCATTGTGGAATGGAGGGCAGCCTAAGGAACGAGACGATGAAATGAGTTCCACGTACATCTTCTGTATTATGGTTTTTATATTCATTTATTTGTTTTAAATTTGCCCTTTCATTTCTTCAGCCTGGGATGTGACCATCAAATACATTAGAACAAAAAGAAAAGTTTCCTTTGGTCCTGTGTCCTTGTTACCAACACTCTAAACTTATCTCTCCTGGCAACAATGTTATGACACAGTACTTTATTTCACATTGTTATTCATCAGTGCAATGTTCCTATGTTCCTGCCTCTGTGCTCCTATTCATAGCCAGGACATAATCCCACTGTCCTTGATTTGGCATTTCTGTCTTCCGTGGCATCTGACTGTTGGCTTTTCAAGTCACATGCATGGAACCTACTGGTTCTCTAATCACCCAAGCTTTCTAAGCTGAAAAAGAGCGAAAGTGTATTTGCAATAAAATAAGTATTCAATATTAGGTAATCTGTTAAAGGATCTTTAGCCCTTGCTTTCTAAATCCTCCGTAATTTTTTTAAGTGTTCCCATTTGGTGATTTAGCACATCATTTCCTCACATCTTCTCTCCATTATAGCCTCCCTGCCCATTCTTAGAGCAATCAATCACACATTCTGATGTTTTTCAGGTCCATCCTAATTCCAGATAGGTCCCATAATTTCATCCTTGGTCCTATAATGTATGTATTCTTTTCAGACCATTTTCTGATTTTTTTTGTTTGGAATGGAAAATGTGATTGCCCAATAATTACCGTATTATGTATCACAAACACGCACAAAGCCTTCCCACCAAGGAAAATGAAATTATCTCAGACTCTTGAAAATGTTCCTGAAATATAGAGGGCTACCACCATCATGGAATTCTTTAGGAATCTGCTTTGGTGTTTCTTTGAAGACTTTCTCCACAAGACTCTAACTAAGGCCAATACCACAATCAAGGTTGTCCCATGCTGGATGAATTAACATCAGTCCTCCAGACTATTCCCCTTAAATACACCGTGATATTATACCTCAGGGTGTGGCAGTTTCCAAGAGTCATGGACCCTTAAGGGACCCAGTCCTAATCCTGACCTGTTGCTAGTAGTTGCACAACCTGGGTCAAGGCATCAGCTTCTCAGAGCTGCTAAGTTTCATCTTGCTCAGTGAAATGGTCAGTTTACACAACAGAAAACCACAGGTCCTTCCACTTGTACACCTGTAAGAGGACCACTTCACGATCCCAGGGCATTCGGGGCAGGGGGTCACAGCGTGGTGTGGAGAAGGGAAAAGGTCAGGAGGTGGCCTGAAAAACTAATATTCTAAAATTACTATTGTGTTGACTTTGTTAAAGTCACAGAAACTTAATGCCTTTCAAAATTACAAATGACATCAAGTTTTCCATTTTTATTTTATCAAATGGGAGCTTGGGTTTAAAAAAAAACTGAGGAACAACTCTAGTACAATGCTAGATCCTTTGTAGACCATCAGTGAATTGGAGCTGCTACATTCATCACTCCCTAAAAAATGGTAATAATGTGTTCTGTCCTGAAAGGCAACATAATGGGCATTTCCAGAGCATTCCTGAGGAACCCACATTGTGTGTGTTGGAATTCCAAGCCCTGAAAACATTACGGAGGCATGGAGTCATAAATGATGCTGTTTTCAGCTATTTTCAATTCACTCTAGGTCCCACTCCTCAATTTATGCCGCCCAGGAATACAGGGTAAGAAAATCATCCACTCTCCATACACCCTTTACTCCAAGGAGGAACATCTGTGTTCTTCTAATAGTTATCCAGAAAATTTCACGTTGATTTTCATGTCAAATCCATGGTATCCAGAGGGAAGAGCAGGGGCACAGCTGTGACTGGAGCAACAGATGAAACTGCTTCCAAAAAATGAGAGAAGGAACCAGAAAAGGCAGAGGACATGGGTGGGAGTTGGTAGACGCAGGGCAGCTCTACTCAGTGAGTGGTGTGAGCTCACTGTCTAAGGTCCCAGACTTTTCAGAGGCTCAACATCATATTTTATGTCTGAAAAATAAGTATTGCTTCTAAGATACAGAGAAAGTTATAAGATTGAACTTAATGAGTATTGAAGTAAATAAACAAGTTGATTTTTATACTAAATTTAGTAGTCACAAAATATTCTTTAGTTTTAAGGGGAAATTGTGTACAAGATGCTGTCTCTCAAACCATTTCTATTATTGCTTAAAATCATAGTAAATGAAATGAGTCATTCTTAGAAGACTTACTTTAAAAGCAAAATCATAATGTCCAAGTATGTCCAGTGAAAATTAATGGAGGATTGCAGGCATATTTTAATATTTTTTTATATTATGTGAGCTAGAATCTTTAAAGTAAAACATGAAAGATTTTTAAATGACACTGTCTGGGGACCTGCACGCATGGCCCATGCAGTCTGGAAGCTGCTTGGTGGCATCATTGCGCAAAGTATAAAGACACACTTTCTAAATGCTTTTTGGTTTGGCCAAGTCCCAAATCTCCTCTTGCTTTGCAAATCTATGTCTTACTATTTTACTACCCACTGAGGGGTGAAAAGTCTTTGATATTTTTAAAAATCATCCTTCAACTCACTTTCTAAACAATAATTACAGATTTTCATTCTCTAACATCTTAATCATCTTGGAGACTTTTCACGTAACCTCATATTGAAGGGAACAGAAGCTACAAAGGAATTTGTTCATTTCAGGCAATCAAGTTCTTATTTTTATGGCTTAGGCACATTTTATGGTAGAGAAACCACACTGAATAAATAATCATTACAGAGAAAGGTGAGCCAAGACCTTCGGAGACCATCATAAATTCTCAAGCAATGACTTTTAAAATGATAGATGGCACTAGATAATATAGCCTCAAACATTCTTGTACAGACGTGTTCATGCACTTTGAAAATAAATGCCAAAATATGTTCCACTTCACATAATTGATTTTACTGTCTTTCTCTCTGCAGGTGAACTCTAAGATCCACAAATGAAATCAAGATTCTTTCCTCCTCATCTGATACAAAGTCTGAGTCCCACTTGCAAATAGATGACTATGTTTAGGGCTAAATTAATTACTTGTTTTACAACTCCAAGATTCCGTCAGGTAACAGATGAATAAATACTAGCATTATTACCAAAGCTGATTTTTCCTTTCTTCCTATATTTACAGCAAGTTAAAAAAATAATAATAATAAGCACCAACAAAAATAAACCAAATTCAAACAAGCCATCCCCAAGTGCCAATTGATGTGGGTCACAGTTAAATAACCAAAGGAAATTGCAAAGGAAAATAAATTAGGCTAAGCTATAGAAGATTTCAGTGTGAACTTAATCCACTGTGCCATTGTCTGGACCCAGCAAGGAAGGAGAATTCTTTTTCAAATCATGAAAGAACTTAGCTTTAGATCAATTTTTTGTTTCACTAAAAAATACCATATATTTCTGTTCTTTATATATTTTAGCTTACTATATAGATTATACAATCAATTTATAATTTTCAAGTTAACACAAATTAACAAAACTCATGAAGGTTTTTTAATCTCAACCATCAGACTTTAGGGTCTAAAAGTTCACAGGAGCCTGAAGCCTATTAGCTTAATTCTGGTATATTTCAAGCCAAGAAATTATGAATCCCTTCCTTCACATACTCAACATACTAATTGCGTCAAAACAGAAGGATATGTTCTCACTAAAAAAAATTTTAAAGCCTAATAGAAAAGCAAGAAAAATAACTTTGAAAAGCACAGGAAAATCCAGGGATAAAACACATTCAATAAAATACGAAATTATAATAATATTTTATGGACCTGTACTTGCTATACCTAATTGGTAAATTATGTGCCTTAAATGTTAATCAAAATATTATCTAATCTTAGAATAATTTTGTCTTTACAAGGAAAAGCAATCGTATTTCATGGTACATAATTGAAAAAATATGAAAGCCTCTTGTATCTTACCTAAACACATTGAGAAAAATTAGTAACTACTATTAAGCATGCTTAATTTTTATGCTTATCATCTAAGTTAAATGAAAGGCTGTAAATAAATTTACTCCTCAAAACAAGCATTTTCAACTCTATACCTTTTAAAAACATGCTTTCAAATGTTGATAAATCCTTAATCACACAATCACCTTGCTATGTGATTAAGAATTCAATTCTAATCTCAAAAATTAGTATATTCCACCCTATGATGCCTTAAATAAAAACACTGGAAATATAGAAACTAGATTTGCACATCATTGCCCAAATGTTATTTCTCTATTCCGTGATGGAATACGAAGCGCTTCACTTGTTCCTGACCCCCTGCAAGGTGGTATATGCTTTTCTCTCCCTGACAGCACCTACAATCAGCCACGGACAAGCCGCAAGATAGAGAAGCTGAGAACGGGGCTGCACAATAATTTTGATATTGCTTATTGAGCTGAGACTCTCAGGTACAGAGAAGTTATCTCTCTCTCTCTCTCTCTCTCTCTCTCTCTCTCTCTCTCTCTCTCTCTCTCTCTCCTTCTCTCATGCCTGGCCAGACTTTAAGTTGTGCGCTTCAGAAATATTTACCTTACTCTCTTCATAGAGGAAGTTGGCAGCTGGTTGGGTGAGTCTGAGAGTTCCTTGCATTACTCCGAAATATAAAGCCTCTGACTCAGACACTCCCTGCTTCCTTTAGTGATGACCATGGTTGTTTTAAATAATGTTATTAAAATGTAATCACGTTAAGGCCCTTTAAAGAGCAAATTAAAAGAAGTGTGCAGAATATGAGCTGCAGATTCGATTCAAAGTAGTCAAAATCGTTACTTTTAATGAGTCAAATTTTAGCATGAAATTGTATTTAATTTGATATTTGCATCACATAGTATTTTCCTGCAGTATATGCAGATATTCATTCACTGTGGTATTGTTTGTTTGTTTTTGTATGGAAAGGTATGCTTTTCATAGTCAATCACCTGTTTTTTATTGTTTATTGGATTCCTCCTTCTCTGATTTTGGTATCTAAGGAGGAATACGGCAGATGCTCACGTTCAAGGATTC